AAATTCTCTTCCATAGGGTTTAAAATTACTCTTAATAGGAGTTAATATGTGATTATTGTTTCCAGGCGATCAGCTGTTGAGTCTCCAAAAACAAGAATAGTAGAAACTAAACTATTGTGTTTTTGAGCATGAGCTTTCAATATGAAGAATATTAGCACAAGAAGATGTAAAAGAAAAATATAAGAATATGAAAAATGCATTTTGATTAGATATGGATAATGAATGGTAGACTTCATAAGGTGTTATATATATATAGGTGGAGACTGGAAAGGTAGATCAAGACATAATAGTCATTCTGATATTGATGATTTAAACATATTTTGATCAAAAATAAAAAAGTGGTAAGAGAAATTATATATATGGTTAGTTAGGAGATAATTAATCCTTCAATCGATATACTAAATCAGATAAAAAGATTCAATTTCTTATCAAGTGTGTATATTATTTATAGAATAATGTTATTATTATAACAATTGTCACAAAAAAGTGTTTTTGAAGTTGAAATTGATCAAATATCTAAGATTAACAATGTCTCAAAAAATTAAATGAATTAGATTAGCTACATTGTCAATTGAAAATAATTATTAGAAAATTTTAGTAATTATTAAAGTTAACTACTAATCCTAATAATTTTGCAACGCATGAAAGTATTAGAAGAATAAACTTCAAATAAAAATATAAATACAATTCTAACAAATAAGTTTTTGCCTTATTATATGAGCAAGACAGATATAATAACTTTGTTACCGATTCACATGAACTCAATAATTTAAAAATGGGGAAATTATATGATTAAGCAAATATTCATTAGTTAATTAGTCATCATAGCTACAGTTTTAGTTAATTACCACTCGAGATCAAAATTCAGTGATAATTACGTGTACTAGAGTTTCAAGTTTGTATCAGTCGCACGTTTGTATAATTTGAAATTTGTATAATATAATTTGTATAACTTTTGTATAATATAATTTTTATAATTATTTAAAGTTCAGATGTTTGTTTTTGTATAAATTCGTTATTTCGAATTTATACAAAAATAGCTCAATTATACAAATGTACCCGCGAATTATACAAACGAGACAACTTAAACATTAATAACTACAGCCCGTAAATATGTAAATTATAGCTATGGAGCATAATTAAATTTATTATAGTGATTATTTGCGAAAATCATGTTGTTAACAATAACAACTTCCTAAGAAAGAAAGTGCATGCAGGCAAGAAATTTAAGAATTTAGTGAAGTGCAAATCAATGTCACTAAAGGGCCAATGTATATTGGTACATATATAGAACTACCTTAGCAAAGTAGAAAGCTTATACTTTTACTTTCGAATTTTCAATTTTTTTTTTACCTTTCCTAGGAGCTCCCAACCCTTTTATTCCCTTGGTGACTCGAACTCGCAACCTTCAGGTTGGAAGTGAGGGGTGCTTACCATTCGAGCAACTCCCTCTCGTCGAATTTTCAATTCTTAAAACCAACAAAACGAAAGATTTTTGAAAAGTAAGACAAGAATAATATAAGCGCGGAAAACTTAGTTATTCTAATATAACCCTACAACCTGATTGTCACGTGTACAAGTCACTAATCTATTACTCTCTCTGTCCCTAATTACTTGTCCACTTTTTTTTTTAGTTGTCCCTATTTACTTGTCCATTTGACAAATTAAGAAAGGACAAAAACCTTTTCTCTATTATACCCTCAATTTATTACTTTGAAAAATGTAGAACTTCTTGAAAATCTTAAATTTTTAATTCATCCACTTCATAATTAATAGGGGTAAAATGGTAAACTCACTATATCAATTATTGTTTTCTTAATAAGTGTGTTAATTCAAAAGTGGACAAGTACAAAGCATAAACATAAAGGAAGAAGATGGCCCACCGGGATGACAAACAGTTATTTCTCAAAGTCCTTCGTCAAGACGTAATTAGATTATAGATATAGAGGATAGAAAATGAGTACTCCATTTATCCCAATCAGACCTCCTCAAACTACAACCTGCACAAAAATCAGCATAACCTAACAGTTTATACAATACACGGTTCACAAGGCTTAACAATCATAGTCCGACAATTACAATTCAACAACCAACAAATATCAAATATGTCAATCACAAGTATCAAATAGATCAGTCACAATTATCAAGTAGATCAGTCTGAAGTATCAAATGCATCAAATCACAATAGTCAAACTCTTATCAGAACCATTTCCCTTCAACACCATTATCACTAATCGGAACTATTTCCCTTCGGCTTTTTATTATATTACTAGCCGGAACCATTTTCCTTCGACTTTATATCATATCACTAATCGGAACCATTCCCTTCGATTTTATATCATTGAACTAGCCGGAACCATTTCCCTTCAGTTTCATATCATCACATGTCTCATCACGATGCAAAAAAATCTATGCAAATTCCAATAAGCCAGTTCCACAACAGCCAATGTTAACATATTCAAAATCTACAAAGAAAAAATAAGGGATAAGGGCCTGAAAAATACCTCAACTTTGGTTGGATTTGCTGTTGCGCTACTAAACTTTCATGAGGACTTATTACCTCTCTAGACTATTTAATACCGTATTTTTTACCCCTTGAACTATTTAATTGTGTATTTTAAAGGTATATATGTGCCCACGTGGACACATTACTATTTATAATTTTGCATTATTTTTTATGTCCATGTGGGCAAATATATATGCTTAAAATACGGTATTAAATAGTCTAGGGAGGTAGTAGATCCTCATGAAAGTTTAGTATCACAACAGTAAATTCGACCAAAGTTGGGGTATTTTTCATACCCTTGTCCCAAAAAACAAAAAGAATAAAAATTTATATTAGTTTTAATAAATAAAGGAAAAAACCATATAATTAGGCATACTTCACTGTCATATATATTATTATCACTTATACTTCTAAAATATTACGTATCTTATTATTAATTAAGAGTTTCCTACCATATATTTTTGTTATCAGATACACAAAAATAGAGAGAGAGGCGAGCAAGTTGGTATATTCCTTATAAAGTAATGTTTATTTTGATAATAATAATTTAAAGTTAAAATTGATAAACGAATCTAAGAATAACAATGTTTCAAGAAAAAAATTACACGAAAGTTATATTATCAATTGAAAAAATATTTTATACTTATTGTGTTGCACGTTGAAAATGTTAATACCTACTCTTTGGTTTTGTGAGCAAATCCTTCATATATTGTTGTGCAAGTTGAATATAATCTCTCTTTTTTTTTGGAGTGATGTATGTATTAAAGTTTAATTAATTTGAATTCGCATTATGTAAATCAATTACCGAAAGGCTCTTTATATATAATTGCATATGTTAAAAAATAATTAAATTTTGAGAAAATGCATAAGTACCCCCAGCCTATGCCCAAAATCCCTGAGACACACCTAACTTTTACTAAGGTCCTATTACCCCCCCCCCCTCGAACTTATTTTTTAATTAATTTTTTACCATTTTTCGACCTACGTGACAATATAAACCAGGTTGAAAGTTTTGTTCAACACGCGTTGGCCCCACTTTTTCAACTATCATATCCGTTTGAGGGATTTCTGTAATTATAAACCTAGTTATATATTATCATATTTGTTGTAGTGAATACAACAACATATAGCCCACCAACAATACAATAATTATCAAATCACAAGTATCAAATAGATCAGTCACAATTATCAAGTAGATCAGTCTGAAGTATCAAATGCATCAAATCACAATAGTCAAACTCTTGTCAGAACCATTTTCCTTTAACACCATTATCACTAGCCGAAACTATTTCCCTTCAACTTTATATTATATTACTAGCCGGAACCATTTTCCTTCGACTTTATATCATATCATTAGCCGGAACCATATTGATCACTTCGATTTTATATCATTGAACTAGCCGGAACCATTTCCCTCCAACTTTATATCATCACATGTCTCATCACAATGCAAAAAAAATCAATGCAAATTCCAATATGCCAGTTCCACAGCAGCCAATGTTAACATATTCAAAATCTATAAAGAAAAAACAAAAGGAATAAAAATTTATATTAATTTTAATAAATAAAAGAAAAAATCATAGAATTAGGCATACTTCATTGTCATATATATTATTATTACTTATAATTCTAAAATATTATATATCTTATCATTAATTAAGAGTTACGTTTCCTACCATATATTTTTATTACTAGATACACAAAAATAGAGAGAGACGAGCAAGTTGGTATATTCCTTATAAAGTAATGTTTATTTTGATAATAATAATTTAAAGTTAAAATTGATAAACGAATCTAAGAATAACAATGTTTCAAGAAAAATATTACATGAAAGTTATATTATCAATTGAATAAATTTTTTATACTTACTGTGTTGCACGTTGAATATGTTAATGCCTACTCTTTGGTTTTGCGAGCAAATCCAGAATATATTGCTCTGCAAGTTGAATATAATCTCTCTTTTTTTTTTTTTTTTGAGTGATGTATGTATTAAAGTTTAATTAATTTGAATTTGTATTATGTGAATTGATTATTGAAAGAAGGGAAAGACTATCTATCTAATATATAAGTTGTTGAATCGCCTTAATTACATAATTATTACTTCCTATGTTTCATATTAGTTGATTATTATACTAAAAATAGTTGTCTCATATTAGTTGTTCATCTACTAAATCAAGAAAATATTAATTAATTATTTTCTATATTACTCTTGCAATTAATTTTTTTTAACGTGTTCACATATGTTTGTAAAATTCTCAAGAAGTTTTTAAAGAGGTGAGTTAGTAAAATTATCTTCTTATTTATGATTTCTTAAGCACCGTACAAAATAAAAAAATGAATACACGAAGGGAGTATCTTTTAACATAAATCCCTTAATTTAAATTTCTGACTCCACCACCAAATACATCCACCATAATATATCATCAAAACCTAGAAAAAAAATCGGTCACTATTTTATTTTATTTTATTTTTTCCAAATTCTAGTCTTGATTCACCGATGTTTATAATTGGTTGATAGCAAAATCAATAGAAGGACGTATTGCTTGGAAAACAGTGTAATAAGTAGCTTGACTTGGGTGGACTGCATCCCAAAACATATGATTTGAAGGATTATTGCATACAATTGATTTTGGATTGCAAAGAATTGATGCTTCAATAAGTCCACTTCCACAACATCCCATGGTAACTTCACTAAATCCTACAAAATATTAAATAATTTTTACACCATCAGATTAAATAATAAAATCTTGTTTACCATAAGTAGAATTAATAACTAAAAAAATTAAAGTCGATAACTTGCTAAAACAAGTTAAATTACATGATAGACTTTCTTTGTATTTTAAAAATGTATTTAATATGAAGAAAATGTTTTACCTGAAAAATTCCTAGAATATATTTTCCTAAAATAAAATGATTTTCTTACATTTATTTGCTAAAATGTTGACTAAATAAACATAAGAATATTATTTCAAAAACATTTATATATAAGAAGCGAGGGGTGAAGGAGGATGAGGGGTAGGAGTGAGTTGGGAGTGGAGGCGGGGGTGGAGGCAAATGGAAAATTGGGGGTATGACAACACAATTAGTATGAAATGCTACTTACGATACTTATTTTATCTATTTTTGTTAGAAAAGTTATTTTTCTAATTTAAAAGACCTGGTTTTCAGAAATTTTTGACCAATAAAAATTGAAAAATAAAACATATATCAAGCCCACCCTAAGGTGTATCTAAGTAAAATCCAAAAATGGAAAATTAGTTAATTGGGTTGCTCACCATATTTAATTGGATTTTGTATCATGTCATTTATTGGATCATAGATATCGACGTAGAATAATTTTGTGCCATGAATTTCCATAGTCTTTAATAAACGTTGAAGAAGCGAGTTGTACTCTCTTGCAACGGCGGAGTACGATTCAATACATCGACGGGGTTGAAGTGCGTCACCGGAATCTATCGTGATGACTATCGGTAAGCACCCGAAAGGTGGAACTCCGGCGACGCCGATCACTCTAGCTCCTTCGTTCATCAAACCCTAGAACAATTAACATAAAGTTTTATGTATACAAAATATTAATATCAAACACATTAAATTGATACATATACCATTTGGATTTTAAAAAAAAAAAAAAAAAAGCCATATCTAATAGAAATTCAGGCAGACAATTTTAGTAGTTCAGTTGGTTGATTACGCGAAGAATCGATTCTCTATCATGTAATCCCTTCCCAATTTTCCTCTTTTTTCTTACCTCCTATAGAATTTTTTATTTTTAAAAATTCAAGCACCTAATTGGACCATGTATGTTGTCCAGTTATCAATGAAATAAATTGAAAATAATAAGATCTTATGTTTAAATTTTAGTGAGGACAAAAGATGTTACATAAATTTTTTTCTCATTTGTTTGAGTTTTAGTGGGCAAAATCATCATGTACTTGATCGTTAAAGATAGAAGATATTCTGTAAAATTAATTGAGATGCACAACATGTTACTAAAGAAGAATTAATATGTATTCATTATATATATATATATATAAAAAAAATTTGGTTGTCTCCAAATAATTGTAGTAATTACGTTACCACACCTAACTCATCCCTTCCCCACTTCATAAATCATCATAAATGTTTTGCCTCCAAATTATTATAATATATATTTATATCATTTCCAAAAGTCCTATAAAAGCACTTCACCTCTATCAAAGTATAAATATAAAAATATATGTCTACGGTCAGATTTTTTGTAACGGTCAATCATCTATAATAATATTTTCCGATATGAATAAAAGAATCAATTTTCCATATAATAACATATAACGCCATTTTATTATAATGACCAGAAAATATCTACCTAACAGACGTCATAATTATAGGTAAAAAGAACACCATATAATGGTATATTTTGTTGAAACAATCTTAAAGTTAAAAAAAAACTACTTTGATCATGTGATAGTCATTTTCTATAGTACTTAACATTTTATTATAATAAAGACATAATAGATAAACAAACCCTTAATTTAGCTTCGGCAGATAATTATATGCCTTTTAATTTTGAGTGTGCATAAGTAAGCGCTTAAACTTGTATAAAATTGAACAAGTAGACATACGTGTCCTACATGACGACATAATACACGTAGGGCGTCACGTAGGACATAAAATTGTCAGGTAGGGTGTCATATAGGACGAATGCGTCTAGTTGTTCAATTTTATTCAAGTTTAAGTGTCTACTTGTGCACACTCAAAGTTAAAAGTCATAGTTATCAATTGACACCAAATTAAGGGTCATGTTTATATATTATGTCTATAATAAATTATGTTGTAGTATATATTTTTTATAACAACTGAAAAATATTGAAACAGTTGTTATAAAAATATTAGTCCTACATATCTTTTCACATTTATATAAGAATCACATGGCTATAATTTAATACTATGTGATAGATACTTACTTGGATAAATTGTTGGACCATTTGCATCAAGAATTGTTGATATTGAGAGACATTATAATATTTTTGTCTTCTAAATGGGGTGTTATAATAATTTACAACAAAGTCATTTGTCCCAGCACTTATTATAAATGCTGCTTTGCTTATTAATAATTTTGTCTTTTCTTTTCCAATTGAATTTTCAAGTTTTCTTTTGTATTCTTTAAAATATTCCAGCTGTTTTTCCATTGTAATTACATCCTGCAATAATAATAATCAATATCAAATCACAATCTTGTCAATAATCAACAATTAATTACTATAGATTGAACCTATCCAATTTCTATAGTATGATGATTGATTGTTCACACCTTACCATCTAGTTATACCTACCATTTCTCTTCTTGGTTTAATATCAGTAGTTTATCGTACGATAATATTCAAATCGTTATGTTTAATTTTTTTTGAAAAATTAAATGACTACCCTTCCACAAAAATAAAGTTGGAACATGATATGAAACCCTAAGTCTATATCTAATTACATCATTACTAGAAAAGGAAAGCTTTCTAAAAAATAAATGGGTTTTTTTTGTTTATTTTTTGATATTTTATAAGTAAACAGAAAATATATAAAAACGAATTTACATATGTCTCGAGCATTTACATATAATTTAGATAAATACTATAAAAACAAATATTATTGAGATCAGGATCGGAGTGAGGGACGACTAGAGGGTGTTAGTATAAGAGACTATCAACGTACAATTTTTTATTTATAGAACTTGTTTTTTCTTACTACTTTTACGATTAATAGAGAAGTCATTTTCTTGATTCATAAACTTATATACTTTTATATTTTTGAAATTAAAGGTAATGCAGATAGTACAAGTTTCGTTGTTGGGAATAATTTACTTATATAGAAAAGAAGTCAATGCAACTCATGTGTCAGATTATAACAGAGTACTTGTTCTTCTTTTAAAATAAATTTTGCAAGATTGCAATAATTTTTAAATTAATTAAATGCACCTAATAAATTACTATAAAGTTAATTATTTGTAATTTTCCCCATTATGTTACAATTACACTAGTCTATAATGATTTATTTAAGAAAAGTCAATTAATATCCTTTCCTCGAAATCTCGAATCACTATAATGAATATTTTGATAATATCGCTAGTTTCGATAAATAAATGAGAGAGACGTACAACTAATTGAGCAGTAAGAGGGTCAAAGCCAGAGCTACCAGAGGCAAAACTAACTCCGGTCATGAGTTCGTCCAAGCTAAGACTTGGGTCCAAATAGGGTGGCACGAAATCTTTGATTCCCACATACGAAGCTGTTACAAAAATTTATAACATTATTTAAGTTATATACATTGACAGTTTACATATTTTTTTAAAAAATACTATACCGATTAGATAGCATTGAAAAACACTAAAACCTCTATATGTTGGTGATTTCTTTTTAGGTGGCACTTAAAAATCAACGATATCTTCTTGTTTTCAAAAATAATTTTACTTTAAACTTTCAATTATATCCTTAATAACATGATTTATCGTTACACAAATAACTATATCCTATTAATTTTCTCAAACCACAAAATTTTAAAATATTCCTTTTTTTTCTTAAATTTCATGTTCGATAAGTCAAACATCAATATGTGAAATGAAAATGTAGATCATAATACATGTTAAATGACATGATAGAGCAAAAAAATACATTTTAATGTACGGCTAGCCAGATTTTCCTATAACAACATTTTCATTATAATGACTACGTTTTCTATGAAAGTATTTCCCCATGTTATATATGTACATGAATAATAATATGTACACGTTGCTATCATAAAAATATTTGACTGTATATACGTACCTAAGTAATCTGTGACGAGACGGCCATTAGTGAACCTTCCGGTGGGAACGTGGTTCGCGAAATCGCGACCGTACGGCGGAAAATCGCACTTTGCGATGGTGTTTATGTAGTTGTTGTTGCCGGAATCAACCGTGGAATCTCCGAACACAAAAACAGCTGAAACTGTATTGTTGAATGGCCTTTGCAACTTTTTATAATTATTATTATTATTATTATTATTTAGTAATGTTCGACCTTGAATTTTATTTTGGAAAATAATAATGAGAAGAATGGGCAAAAAGAGAATAAACTTACAAGGAAAAATCATTGTGGAAGAATAATAATTGGGAGAGAAAAAAATGTTAGAAAAATTTAGTATGAGTTTTTTTGGTCTATTATAATGTGTTGTATATATAATGGGGAAAAATATATATATGGTGTGTGTAGGTACTATTAATAATAGCAGTGGACCTCTATATAAATTTAAAATAATTTTTTTAGGGTCCTTCTCTTTGATTATCAAGGATTTCAAAGATTTTTCGTACGATACTTAATTCCGAAATTAATTCTATACATATGACCAATAATGAAAAAAATCAATGATATAGCGAAATGGTGATAGGCAATATGAGTTAGCCACAGACAATCGATTATAGGATTAATTTTTTTCTTGAAAAGTAAGAAATTTCGCATATTTTGATCAATTCAAGATGAAAAATGGAATTGATCACTTATAAGGGAACAAAACTGAGCAAAAAGATCTCGATTCAAAATAAATTTATAAAATATTAATAGCTCTTTAGAATCTACTTCAGCGTTTGATTGAACATAATTTCAATCGGATCATTCTAACTTGTGTCCCTAATTTGAAATGATGTTTAATTTTTATCCTTCAAATATGTGATCTTTTATTTCGACCACAAATTTTAAAATTCGTTCTTATTTCCAACTGATCAAATATAGGTCCACTTCCATTATTAATAATACAACAAAAAATATTTATGCTCAACACATAAAAATAATCTCAAAAGTAGCTCATGAATTCTTCAACTGTTTTTTTTCTTTCCATTATTATTCTGACTCAAAAGTAGCTTTTGTGGTTCGATCCTTTTTTGAAGGGGCGAATCGAGTAATTTTTACATATATTTTATATTTATATTGAGAAATCGATTAATATATAAGAAATATTTGTTGTACGTGGTTTGATTTCATTTAGGCACATATGGAAAAAAAAAATTGTTTTTAAATTTAAAATTATTGAGAACTCATAAACTTCAAATCATGAATCCACTTATGCTTCTCTGGACTCCGCGCATAGAGGAACTTAATGCACCGATCCACGGTATTTTAATTATATATATTTTTTATAATAAAAAATATAATTGTATCCCCTTATACGTGGTATATCTTGTGTGGTTATGGCAAAATTCTTTAGTGGAAGATTCCAAGAATGTGTTAAAATATAATATCAATCAAAATCATTCCACTTGTCCATCACTTTGTTATAAAGGTTTCAAGCTATCGAATTTTTTTGGCACACCTTCGCGCAGTCGAGACCTTATATCAAGTCGGTCGAATTGTAATATATAAACATGTTTTTTAAATTTGGTTTTAGCTGATAATTATGTCTTCTAGTTTTGAGTGTATAGAAATTAACACTTAAATTGATTTGCATGGCAATTCACGTGAAATGCACTCGACTTGATTTGTATGTCTACTTATTCATTTTTATACAAATTTAAATGCCTATTTTATACACACCAAAAATTTAAAAAAACATAAATCTCAGTCGAAATCGAATTAAATTAAAAATTTCCTTTGTGGTCAACTAGTACAAACATTATTATATAAGGATTTGATTCCATAGATTTTATTTATCATTGGGTAGCACACAAATGCAATTATTTGAACAATAATTTAAAAGGTCCAAATATACTTTTACATGACTTCCATTATTACCACGAACAATTAGTTGGACTTTTTCAATTATATTCAATGGTGTATTTGAAATCGAAAATAATACCGGAGACTTTTATGAGTTGATAGATTTACGAAAACATATACTCCCTCTGTCCCTAATTACTTGTTCATTTTGACAAATCAAGAAATGACAAATTATTTTTACCTATTATACCCTCAATTAATTACTTTGAAAAAGGTAGAACTTCTTGCAAATTTTAAGTTTTTAATTCATCAACTTCATAATTAATAGGGGTAAAATGGTAACTCACTATGTCAATAATTATTTTCTTAATAGGTATGTCAATTCAAAAGTAGACAAGTAATTAAGGACAAAGGGAGTATAAAAATATATTACAAATGTTAGGGGTATTTTTTAATCCCTTTTTTGACAACGTATATACATTGATAATGTGAAGAATTATAACATTATCAATATATTTAAATTTATTGTAGTAAGTAATTTTGCTTATTTTTCAAACTATTTGTGATTCCATTTGTTATTTATGAAATGGTATCAACTATCAATATTCATCTTTTATGTGATTTCGTAGTGCAATTTTATTTTTATTTTTTTTATATAGTCACTCAAGCAGGTTGAAATATATATTATTATTATAATAGTAGAAATGGAATCATTTTGTTTTGATATTTTAAGCAAATTCCTATAATTTAATTAATAAGCCTAAGTTACAAAAGTCATTTCTAGGAGTATTTTATTTTAAAAAGATCGATGTATTTGTTAAAAAGTTCAATTCAAATTCAAATAGGGAAAATTAGCAAACTAGTCAAAAAAAACCTAACTTAATTAGTAAAAACCTCCATACTTTATAAATATTAGTAAAAATGTCAAAATATCATTATTTTAGAAAAGATTGTGTATCCTAATTTACTTCCTATTTTATTTCACCTTAATTACACATTTTTCAATTAATTCTCTCTCATATGTTTTAAAAAAAGTGAATATTTTCTCTCTCATATTTTCATCTTCCAACTCTTCTCCATTTCAAAGTTTGTCTCTCTCTGTTCCTTTTTGTTGGTTTGTTTTTTTCTTTCAGAAATTGGAAAATATATTTGATAAAGATATTCACACAATCCCTTTGATTAAGATATGCATATAAGATTTGTTTTATGATTTTTTTTTAAATCGTTCAAAATTGTTGTCTGTAGTTGAAATCACGTTTAGGGTTTGATAAACTCCAAATCACTTTTCACTGGCAGAATTTAAGAGAATTACTAGAGGTATCCAACTTAATCAACAATTTTCTAGAGATTTCCCATCATTTAATCTACGTATTACTCAAGAAATAGCGGATATTGTAGGATCCGCTGCTAAAATGATGGAAGAGACGATCAAAATATTGTTGTGGATATTTTGTTAGTTTTGATAAAATACCACATATTTGGAATCACCCTTTTCTAGGTATGTACATTGGTATGTATTCAGTAAATTAAGGATATTTTTATACTTTAGATAGTGATGATATTTCAGATTGTATTAATGAATTATTATTGGATGGTTTTGTATTCATCATGGTATATTTGTTGTACTTGTGTTGTGTGATTTTATAAGTTACTGTACTTGTAGGTTTTTGTATTCACTATGCTATGTATATCATTTTCCAGTTATGGACATTGTAAGAGTGTTGTTTGTATCCAATTAAGTAAAGATACATATTAACTTATACATTTGTATTCCTTTAAAACAAATAGTGTTGATATTTCAGATTGTATTCACTCCTTATTATTTGATTGTTTTGTATTCATTATGGCATATTTGTTTGTGATTGTGTTATGAGCTTTACAAGTTACTGTATTTACATGTGTTTGTATTCATTATGCTATGTGTATCATTTTCTAGTTATGGACATTGCAAGAGTGTTGTTTGTATCCAGTCAAGTTAAGATACATATTAACTTTATACATTTGTATTCATTTTAAATCAGTATAGCATATTTGGTGTATTCATTATATCATAATAATTATTGTATCTGTCTGGTGTGGATTATAAGTTACATTATGGTATAAATTTGTATTTATATGACGTGGTTTCTAAGATATAATGTAGTTCAATAAACAGAAAACAAATAACAAATAAATAAACGAAAATACAGTACAATTGTCGTAAAAAATTGTACCCGCTCCAATTTGTTTTTCGTAGGGATACGATTTGATTCGAAAAATTAAAAGCAAACAGCCAATGAAAAAAACATGTCTTCAAACAATCCATTATTATTTTCGTATTCAACAAGCAAAAAAATTCAACGAATCCACCAAAACTAATTATTCATACGTTGTTCATAATACATACAATTTACAATGAAAATAGATACAATTTACAATTACGTATAAAATTTATATTAAAACTATAATCAATTAGAAGCAGATTAACGATGAAGCAATTAACTAATATATGGTCCAATTTGTATTCCACCAATTTTATCGAACTTCCAGCAGAAAAATCCATCTCCAAAGCTGTTTGTCAACAAATTTTTTTTGTCTTATTTCGTTCAAATCTATCTTACCAAACTGGAAAAAAAAAGATTTTAATCAAAATAAATTGATCAGAGATTGAATATTTTCAATTGAATCTTGAATATCGATAATGAGAAAATTGATCAACAATGGGGTCGCCGATGAAGTATTCAGTTTAGATTTTCGTAACTGATGAGACTTTTAAGGGATTGTTCCTTTTTAAAATTATCTTTTCCCCTAAATTTCTCCTTTCTGCTATTTAACAATTGTATTCTTTCAATTAAAACAAATAATAAAAACTTGAATAAGATACATAATAAACTATTTTTGACATTTTTACTAAATATTGAAAGTGTTGACAATGGATCCTATTAAATGTTAAAATATTGACATTTTGAAAAATTTCCCAAATAATCAATTCTGATGTTGTTTGTGCAAGAGTAACTAGAGAACTTCAAATTGCAATAAAAAAGTTGTCAACTAAGAAAGACCGGAATTCCATGTGAGCCGGGATGAATTAACCAAAAAAAATACCCTCCTCAATTTTCTTAGAAATTCCCAAAAATTACTTGATCATTTATCGAATCTATCTAATTAGATGAAGAATGAACCAATTATGGTTTTTTTTTTTTATCTATGAATTGGAAATTAAAAATGTCCAGGGACGAAAGTGAGGGAATATCTACAATAACTAGATTTAATCACATTAATTTGAAGGAATTTGTAGTTTTATTAATCAAGAATTGACGAAAGAACTTTGTAACAACAATTACTTCACATCATGTATAGTCTCACAGGTAAATTATGAAAGAGAATAATATGTACGCAATTTTTACTCCTCCTTTGTGAAGGCAAAAAGGTTGTATGAAAAAACTTCACAAATGTCCAAAAATTGAAGATACAAACCAATAAATTATATTTTATAC